ATTGAATACCTCTTTGGTTGGGTCCAGAACCCTCCTCATGAGGGTATCCCTTATCGCATCATGGAATGTGTTGTCAAAGGCGCCTTTTATATCTAAAAAGGCGCATATTGTTACTTCCTCTCCTCCATGCGCTCGGTATATATCCGAAGGCAAGACTGTTAATAGGGGAAGGTAGCATATCCTGGCCCTGTTGGCGATATTCCGTCTAGTCCGGGAGATTTGAAGCACTAGGAAGTAGCCTCTGCGGTGTGTGTGCCGGCTTGGCACATGCCCAGTCATCAGCCGACAGTCTATACCTACTCCCAATTTCGATAGCATTTTCGTGGGGTATACTGCCTGGAAAGTGCGTTTCAAAAATTAGTTTTAGTTTTTGCCTGCTGTTACTCGTAAACGAGTTGTCTTTACGTTACAATACCAAATTTGCGTCAGGCGTCAATTTAGATACACTCTATGGAGCCTTTCGCCTTCACGTGTACTTGCTATTTTTTCACAGAAGTTCCTATAGTTATTCCGCTTGGCTTTCCTAAGTTTTATTGGTCAGACACTAACGGTACTGTTCCCATACTCCGTTGCTCTATTGAAAAATGTCGTTCCACCGAGGGGCATTGTTTTCCATGTACATTTTCCTTACCGAGCAGTTTTCCTTAAAAGCCTCGATTATGCTTTTGTTAGGCTTACCTACAGCCCACTCTAGCTCAGGCGTATGTCTGGGTATACCTAATATTCCACAGGCAGAATTAAGCTCTAAAGGCAACTTAAATCTTTCTCAGTTTGTGTTTCTGGGGTTGCGACTTGGTACGCTGCCATCCGTATTTAATTGTAATTTAAATAGGATGATTTTATGGCCAGAAATAGGTCCTTCTGGAGAGAAAAGCCAGTCCCTAAGGTGAGGCTGTAGGGTCCAGCTAGTCAGGGTAATGTCTAGCACCTCCTCCCTGCCTCTAGTTACAAATGTCGGTGAAGTGCCATTGCCTCTCTTTGATCCCAGATTACCTTTCAGCTGGTCGTGAATATGCCTTAAATGCCATTGTTCGCCCATGGCTCCTGCACAAGACCTCGCCTAAGGTGGTGTTTGGTAAACATCCTTGGTTTACGTGGGCTAGCCCTGTTTCGATGATCTTTGTCATCTACTATAGTAGCGGCTCCAACTGGCACGGCAATTGGGGCGTGGAGCTGCACCCCGTTATCGCTGCTCGTCAATTTGACGTCAGCTGCTACCGCCTGTGAGGACATGGGTATGTCCTCGTCACCCGTGTCCCCTAGTTTTTTGGAACAGAGCGTCATCTCCGCTAATTCCTCGTCTTCTTCTAGGTCGTCCAACATGATGGTCACTGCCCGTGCAGTGGCCTCCTCTTCTGTTGGGGCGGGCTGCGTTTTCCCCCCAACTTTTTTCTTCAGGCCACTTACAGGGATTGTCCCGTAACGAAAGACGACCTGGTGCCCTCCTTCAACTATCACGTTTCTGGATATTTTAGCTATCCCGATAAATAGGAATGCTCCTGCATCCTCATTCCTCCTAGTTATCACCTTCTACGAGTTGGTATCGAGTTTTTCTGGTTCCTCAGCAGAACCAACTAGGATTAGGTTGACTGTTCCACGCTTCTGGGACATAATAACGTGATACAGTGGGGCGACGGTATGTCGGACACGCTCTTCCACGATTGTCGCAGCGACCCTACGGTGCTCAGCCAATACGCTGAACCTTCATCGGAGCATTCAATCATCAAGAAGCCAACCCTGAAGTGAATGCCCGCGAATGAGACCGCAGTGTCCCAACCACCGGACGTAATGACCTCGTCTACGATGGTCTCCGTGACTGAGCATTACATGGAGGAATTCCACAGGCAACACGGCCACCTTTATTTTATTAGCCATCGCCGCATATGTTGGGCGAGGCCCAGTGAGTGCTGAAGAGCTGGGCTTCATGCAGAGATTGATCCAGCCCGCCGGGTTGACCTCTCGATGGCAGGGGCTCCTCCGTCTTTCTCGGTCGATGTCTAACTTGCCTCACAGCCAGGCGTGATTGTCGGGATGGTCCGACCGCACTACCCTACCTCGAAGCTGGGGCTTGTTGACCTCGCCCTTGCTGCGACAGTGGCACTCTCCTATTTGTTGCTGGAGTAGTACGATATGGAGGATGGTCTAGCACATGTGAGGACCTCACGCCCTCCAGGGTGCGGTTCTCCATTCGTTTTGCGACATTCTCAGCAGGGAGATCCTGCTGTATTTTAAAAATTTGTTTGTCTTAATATTATTTCAGACGAGATGCAGAGAAGTAATTGTCCACCCGTACGAAGATCCGCATTACCCGGGTAAGGCTGTCACCATTTGCCTGAGCCCACCGTTTGAGACTGAGTTATTTGTTGATCCGGGCTCTCAGCCAGGTTGACTCTCGGCACGGTTCGAGTGACACATTAGTCGGCCTGGAGTGAGATTTAGTGGTAGGATGGAGGTTGTGGTTGTGGGGAGGTTAGGCGATGCTTTTAAAGGCAACACAGGCACCTTGTCGATAAGATTGTCGTAATCATATCCGCTGTTTGTCCGGGACGGCTGGCACAAAAGCGCGGTCCAGTCTACCTTGTTCAGTCTTTCCACCGATGGCTTGGCAGACGCGTTTGTGTTTTGACTCCTGAGAATCTTCGGCACCCACTCCAACCGGAAGTTCAGTTGCAGAAGACCCCTCAAGGATTACAATTACCACCAAGTTCTTGGTAAACGGGTCCGCTGACTGATTTTCCTGACTTGGAACTTTCGTCATGCTTAAAAGTTGCAGAGTCCGCAGTCTTGTCAGGTGATTCCCGCGCGTAGTGGTGAAAAGCCGTCCACCTGCTCAGAGATCCGTGCTATACAGAATAGGGATATTTCGCATCGTGTAGTAAGATGCACAGTTAGTACATCCAATCTGCGATTAAAATCAAAAAACACTGGCAGCTCCCATTATTTCTTCAGATCTCATGTCATTGCCACTTGCAATGTTGAGTCGAAAATGATCACACACACTTTGTCTTCATCTGCTAACTAGAAATCTTGCATCGTAAGGTCGAAAGCGACGTCCAAGGTCCATCACATTTGCATAACCATCTTTGCAAAGTTCTTAAGCTAGGTAAAGGGAAGACTCTTTAATATAAGTGGTGGTATGCTCGTGGGTCAGAGCATGATGGCAAATGCTGTACGCATTATATTATCTTGACGTCTCCAGTAACGGACGGTGGCTTGTGGCTGTTACACAACAAGCTAGCGTTTAATTTAGCATGGCAAAGCTTTGCCGCGACTTATTGTTAGTAAGGTGCGGAGCTTGTCGACTGCTCACTTGATATGACCGCCTTATCCGAGATTTCATCCACTTACTGGCGAATTTTTGCCGATGTAATCTCATCTTCATCTTTGGCGGGATAGCGCTCGGTTGAATAGCGGACGTTGCGCTGTTAGTTACGTATACCATAACGTCTGCTTCTTTCCGACTGCAAAGCAAATACTTTACAGCTCTTTGGCATTCCTTACCCTTTTCTTTTCTCGCCGAATTAGTGCTATCTTCCGCTTAGTTCGACCCTTATACTTGTATACTGCACCATCAGCTGGAAGCTTGATCAGACCGGTTTATCCATATCTCCCTGAAATGCGTCAGCAGTGATAGTAGAGTCTCCTTCTCCGTGATTACCTCGTTGCCGTTGCTTATCTTGACTACTGTCAATTCTGTCAGGGTTGTGACCCCAGTCCTTTCGCCTTAAAGCGACTGCACTGCTTCATGCATGATCTGATTATTGTCGTCCGAGGCCTTTGTGGGTTCAAAAAAAAGCTTCGGCCTTTTTCCTTATACCATCAAGTGCTGTGCCAGATAATTCATCTGCCACTGCTCCAAAGGAGGACAATGGTGTCTGTTCTCGATGGCTTAGCTCTACCATTTTTATTTCGGACAGTTCCATACTTCCATCTTAATCGCATCTTCTTCTTTTCTTTTACGCTCGAATTCGTTGCCTTTGTCTGTTTAGGACAACTCGTAACGTTCATCTGTTGCCTCTTTGGTCACCTCAAGCGTACTACTTGAATAAGAGCATTGGGTGGTGGATAAATCAACTAAAAATTAAAATCATTCCCAAGCTCACGGATCGTGGATCCGACCTTAATAAAGCTATATCTTTCTATTATCCTTCGTATTCCTCACGAGCCAATTGTGTTAGCTGGGGGGCGAAGGACTGGGTATGGTGAAGCGATGCTTGTTGCGGTGTTAGTGGGGGATCTCGAGACATTTCGAGATGTGTTGATTGTTGCACTTCGGGCTTTATCGCGCATATCAGTTTCTTTCTTCGGGACGGTGTCTGCCTCTTTGCTTAGAGCAACACCTTTGTTGCTGTTGTTCGTTCCTGGCCTGTTCAGTACCTCTATTGAGAGTTCCATACTTGTGTGTTGCGGTTGTTTTCAAATAATTGGGTCTCAACTCGGCCCGATATGCAGTTGTTGTTAAATCCCTTAGTTATATTTACAAGCAGGAAGGCCACTTACTAGAGGTACTTCTCTGATAAAAACTGTTCACGTCTTCCATTAGTTGCCTCATACGAAAAGCAGCGAGACACTGAGATCAGGTTGTATGTAGCTTAGGTGTAACTTCACCTTTCCAAGTACACGGATATTTCAAGTTGTACCTCTTATATGCCAGTTAACTACTTGACATAGAAACTCATTCAAATGTTCTTTAATTTCAACCCAATGAAAAGCTGTTTTTTTCATCACTGGATAATACGGGTTTACTAACGTGCTCTGACTGCCCCGCGGAAAGCACCTTTGATAAAAATAATAGTATTATGCTTTTATTAAAAGGTGTTAAAGGTGTTAAAAGAGTGTGACTGAAAGTATTAGATTGTTTAAAAAAAATTCATATAAATTAAAATAATATTTTAAATTTAAATGAAGGGAAGTTTATCTTCACGGCGACAATAAACTAAGAAAGTATCTCTCAGAATATAGTTTAGTTAAAGCTATGAATACATTTCTTCCCGTTTCAGGTTTGTTATTATGATTCGAATTCCTGAGGATGATTTCTCCGAGGACAATAAGGCATCTTCCCAATTAGAAATGAATCATCAAAAAGACACGTCTGGAAAATCGCATTACCATATTCCAATATCTCCGGAATATTGTCCAGAAACGGTTAAGAATATGTGCTTTCAAAAAGATGCAATTCCTAATAATACATCATATGCGTCCCATATTGTAAAGTCTAGTTCGCCAGCTTCAAGCGCAGAAGAATCGGCTTTTAATCCAGAGTTTAGAAATCAAATACAAGTAACTCAAGGTCAACACAATTATACAATGACCCCCAGCGGTGATATTAACTTTTACAGTTTTCACGATTTGATTTCTGATCCCGAAAAAACAATTTTGTCAGATGCTGAAAAGTTGCTCAGATCGAAAGAGAGTGATATGTACAGCAATGAATATAATCACATACATGATGTATTTGCCATTCGCAAATATTATCATCCTCTTTTTGCTCATGGGATATGTCGCTGGCCTGGTTGTGAAATGGATTTAGAAGATATTGCCTCGTTTGTGAAGTAAGTGATTAGTGTAGAGTAAGTGATTGAAAATTAGAAGTAAATATATATATTTGTTTTGCTTTATTCGAAATCAATTCTTATCAAAATAATGAAAGAAGATAATTAAGATAAGTTTAATAATAGTTATACAGCATTTCAAAAAATATCAAATATGTCCAACAAAGAGAAGAGAAAAACAAAAGCACTCCATACTAATTTCTTTTATTACAATTTCTCGGTGTCTTATGTTGTTTTTATCTTTTTGAAAATATTTAACTACTGAATTTTATATTAATCTGTTTATTTATTTCGTGTATATTAAATATGGGTATAGGCGGTATCAGATTTATAAATTATTGTAACTCATATGCGCATATCTAAATCGAACACTCACTTTTCGAATTATGAATGCGAAGACATTTATGTGAATATTATTTTTCTTGTATTTATAGAGAATGTGTTTAATTTATATATTTTTATCTCTTTGGTAGGCATCTTAATTCGGAGCATGCATTAGATGACCGATCGACAGCCCAAGCTCGGGTACAAATGCAAGTTGTTTCTCAATTGGAATCACACCTGCAGAAAGAGCGAGATCGCTTGCAAGCTATGATGCATCACTTGTACTTATCAAAGCAGCTATTATCACCATCGAAAGCGGATCGGAAGGTATTTTTTCACGTCTTAACAATCCTTAATATAAACTGTAATTAATGAATTAATTAATTATGAACCGCATGAATAAAGATTCATTCTAACTTTTATGTGCGCAGACAAAAATATGCATCTACTCCTTGTCGATAGTCGGCTTGAATCGATTCCTTTCCTTATATTCGTGTTAAAATTTGGGCGTTGTGGGACTGAGGACCGCAGCAAATAGATCACTCAATTTAGAGAGCTATTTATTCGCTCAAGTTCGCTCACGCTCAGATGCGAGATTTTTATGATTGTTCGCTTCGTGTTTGTGTCGACGTAATTGAGCTACTGCTGGAGATTAATTTTTTCTACACTAATGCTTTTCGGTAGTTTTGATATCAAAATGTCCGTCCGAATTCAACCAAATCTAAATAAGCTCAAATTAATTTCTTGTCAAATTAATTCTTGTAATACTATCTTATGTATGTTATATTCAATAGATATCTAGCGGTCGACGTGCAAATAAAAACAAGCAAATTGGTATTTCTCGTATCGATATTGCTCGTCTAGTCTGGTATACTTAAGAATATAAAGAAAAATTGTATGGGATCGGAGATTTCAAAATTTTAAGATTATATGTTTACAACTTCATTATACCATATTAACCCATTTTATATTTGTGCATTTATTACATTTTCACCCGCAATTTTCTTACATTAATTACATATTTTATTTGTAGGATGCTCCTGGAAATGATATGAATTTCTGCAGTGCAACAACTCCAATCCTAATAAATAATGTATCTCGATCTCTATATCGGTCACATTCTCCAAGCTCTGTAAATCTTCCAATTGTTAACTCTGGTAGTTTGTCGTCGATGAAAAAAAGGAACCATGACAAAAATACTTTTTCAGTAACTGGCGGTAAGTCATAGACTAAAGTATGTTAAAGGCATAAAATTCATTTTTAAATTTTAAACTTCAACGTATAATTATGTTCGAAATGCCAAGTCATCAACTCAAATATATCTAACGCAAAAAAAAAAATAAATAAATATAGAAAAACAAGTAGGAGATTGAATGCCGGATGTCAGCGAATGCGGAATACCATTTTAATTCAAATGACAATGATGGAGCTGCAGTGGGTGGAAATGGCTCGACAAAAACTGAAAAAGACGACCCACCCAGCAGCCACATAATGTTAGAGCTAATTTTACCAAAAATGACTAGCAATCGCTTCCCGTGATTATTATCAAATTTTTCGCCAACTGCGTGTTCGCCTCCTCAAGCCGCGACAACCCATGTCTCCCACAGTTTAAGATTTAAAGTCACCTAATTTAATAGGTGGATTAATAAAAGCTTATTCAGCGACCGAGCCAAAAAAGAAATGCTTATAGCCAAATTTTGTGATCCTTAAAAAAAAATTGCCAAATCACATATCAAGCGAATGTAAAAATTTCCTGCCTCACAGATTTCCGTCCCCACACTGCGAAAAGCCAATTTCTTCCACAATCTTAAAGTTTTTGTCATCACATTTTATTAAGTGGAAGGTGCGCTCCGACTTGACTTAGACAGCTACCGAGGTCGGTCTTCTCGTCTTTCTCTTCCGACAAACCTGTGGGACTTCTTGGATAGTTGGACCCTTCGCGTCCGTATCCAGATCCTTATTCTTTCTGTATCCAATTTGTAATTCTCTGTCGGTGGTACCTGAGTCTCCGCGGATCTATGCCGCGAGTTGTTCGCTTTGGATTCTCCGGCGTTCCTTCGTTAAGATGAAAAGTGGCGATCACTTATCTTGGTGACTTCTGAGGAAGACGTTAAATATAATAAATAGTCGTGTTAGATCATCGATAACTGGTCCATAAGATCTGAAATGGGTTATACTCCGGAAGTAATTTGAACAGACTTTGAGACAAAACCACTTAAATAAACTTAAATAAATAAATAAAATGAAGTTTATGTATAAAAAGAGAGTGAGGCACGGAGTCAAAGGCATTTCTGAAGTCTGTGTAAATAACATCAGTTGGCTTTATGTTTTGAAAAACCTGAATTACAAAAGAAATTAATTCATATAAATTACTTGTAGTAGATCTATAATTCATGAATGTTAAAGAACATAACTCCACGTACAGCTCAAATAGTACACCAGGAACGTCTTACCACAAATCCAGGAACGCCATCCAGCCCCGGCGAAATTACTCTTATTGGCTTCAAGATCCTCAAATAATGAACTCTCAGTAACTTCTCTGCCTGTATAACGTCCTCCAAACGTCGGGCCATTCTTGTAATTAATTCCCATTAAAATAACTATTTTGAATTCTTTTGATGAAATCATATGGGCTAAGGTCTGGTGACTGGTGTTCTAGAGTGCTATTAGCTTCTGCAATGGTCAATAAGCCTTTCTTGAACCAAATATGGAAATATTCCTTGGAAATAAGATAGATATATTTAGATAACGGACAATTTTTGTTTCACACATAATATAAGAATATTTCACACATTTTCCTGCGGCAAAAATAAGAATCTATTATATTATAAATTATTATTATCTATTCTTACAAATTACTTATTATTTTTTAGGTCTTCCGTACATGCTAGAAAGAGCAGGACTTGATGTACAGCATGGTAATGTATTGAATTAATGTATCTTGATCCATTTGATATGCTATTAACTTTAATAAAAATAATTATCCATAGCTAGTCGTACTTATTTCAAGCACATTTGTTTTCCAAATGTGCTATTTTGTGTAAACATTATTCTTTTTTAATTAAAACAATCAAATTGATTTTTCGCTTAATCATTTTTTTTTTTTGCAAAACGGGTGTGTGTCATATCAATGTAAGGTCGTGAAACTTTGATATTTTCCGGTCGGTCCTATATTCTCTCTGTGACATATTTGTTAGATAGTGGCTTCGCAGGGTCGCGAATCTTTTCCTGGCAAGAGCAGGACAGAAGCAGAAGAAGTGTTCTGGAGATTCTAGATCCTCTTCGTCTCTATAGCTTCTGTTGGCATGAATACCATCTAGCCAGTGGCTGGTTAGAGCACGGATTTTTGCGGAGCAGTTTGTGCGATTTAAATTACACAGTTTTCTTTTTCGCCCATATTATGCTAATAACACGCTGCTTACCTTACTTTAGATCTGTTTAGGCAATTAAGTACTTCCGCCTGAATAACACTACTGTGTTCCAGGAGACAGAAACAGAGTAGACGCCTTCGTCAACGCGATTTTCAAGCATTAAGCCATCTGTGTAGATGATTACAGTTGCCGGTGGTCCGGGCATATCGTGAATCCGTTCCTTCCTTTGGGGGAAGTATGTACGAAAGAGTGTTTTTAGTTGTACTACTGGCACACAGTAGCCACTAGAATAGATGCATGGCCTTTATTCTGAGTAGTCCAGACTAAGGATTATCTCAGTCTTATGGCCGTAAGTGTTGCCGGACATGGAATGTCTAGGGTGGCGTCTAATGTCTCATTTAGTGTGGTGTAAAGAGCCCTGATATGCAAAGCTCAGTCATGCGCTGAACCTTTTTAAGCCGTTTCTGAGTGGTTTGCCTTTTTAGACAAGGTCATAATATGACATATAAGAGAATGGGATGATTGATAAGTATAGCAATCGGACAATGTTTGGGGACATACCCCATTTGAGTCCAATGGACTTCCTGCAAGTATATAAGGTGACTGATTCCTTCTTTACGTGCAGCTGTATATTGAGCTTCCAGTCTACTTTTCTCTTTGAAAATTTCCCAGTTCGCCTTCTTCTCATTCAAGAAATGGACCGGTCTTGGCAGGCTTAGTGAAAGCTTAAATTCTAAATACCTGTGATCATAGAAAGAGTGTTCATCAGAAACATATAAGGGTGGAGTTATATCTGATGACTAATGGTATGTGAGATAATGGCTAATAATAAAAGTGAGATAATTTCCCGTAATGCATTAGATTAGTATTAAGAATGAAGGTTAAAAGTGAATCACCCCTCACCACACTGGGAGTTGGGTCACAGTTGACATCACAGCCTATGACTAGATCAATTTTGCACTTCTCGCATTCCGCAACGAGTGATCTTATATTCTCGTCTGGTAGGTGTCCTGAATGCTGTCGAGGGCCATAATTACGGAGAGCCCGATACGGCTCTGGGTGTTTCTACGGTGGTGTCGCTGTTACTGAAATTATGGAGAGGTGTTTCAAGATAATGCAGTTTCTTATTTTAACTTCAAATGTAGTTCTTAAGAGCTTGTAATTTTTGCTTCATAGTCTGCAAACCATGGCTTCCCACCGGCCGCTGCATGCAACTTGTATACCTTTAGGGTGACTGAGTTGAATCCGAAGTTGAACTCACTCTTCGCAGCCTCAATCGGCACCACTGATTCTTTATTTAGAATCACCATCACGTGATTCATCAACCCCTTTTGTGGCCTCTTCTCTATAGTCTTGCGTGGGAAGGGCTGGATGCATCGCTAGTATCTGGTCCGTCTATTGTAGCGAAGCCGGATTTGACCCTTTACCAAGAACATGACTATGAGACCGGTACAGATCTTAGCTAGCATCAAAACCTTTCGGACCACTATGATGATATTACCTGTCGGTACCCTCGTTCAGTTAAGTTGAGGAATTTTTGGGGAACCAAATTTATATTGACGAATACTGAAAATATTTCGATGTGAGACACATTTCTTTGTAAAATAAAAGACCACTCCTTCATTATTATTATTTATTCTATTCAATATGCTAAATCTCTCTTTAATTTTACAGAAATACAACGCAATAGAGAGTTCTACAAAAACGCAGACGTTCGTCCGCCATTTACATATGCTTCTCTAATAAGACAAGTAGGTATAAAAAAATGTCGTTAATTTATTTGGGCAGACGACGTTATTTATTGCATTCGAATTGTAGAAACATATTATTACACTAAGGTGGTCCTAAATATGATGGGATCCCACTTAAATGAGGAGAAAACAACACCGACGTAATAATAAAAAAATTCGATGTGAATAAGTTATTTTAATGATTATCTTCCTAACTACACATTATAGATTAATTTTATCCATTTTATGCTTATACCCAATTCTTTTAACTTCATTCAAGGCTATCATTGACTCACCAGATAAGCAGTTGACTCTGAACGAAATATATAACTGGTTTCAGAGTACATTTTGTTACTTCCGGAGAAATGCAGCAACTTGGAAGGTATTTATTAATCAAATATGTATATGTGTATGTGTTGATAAGTAAATATAATAAGAATTACCCTCTGAACAGTAAGAGGTGCATTAAACAATCAGAGTTTATCAAGTTTATCATGAATTAAATATCCGCATAACCAAAGAAGAAATATCACGAAAAGATAGCACAAGATTTCAGATTAGAGTCAGTTACTCATATAAAATTTTAACAAACAATTTTAAAATCTGGCCAACCATCCTATTGGAGCGATTTAATATTTCGATTTAGTATTTCGAAAGAAATAGTTTTTTGCAAGAATACTGGGGCCTAATTAAAAAGGAAAGAATGAAAACTGCATACCATTTTGCGGATTATATTGAAAGCAATGGGTTTTTCCATTGAAATATTATTTATTTACTTACTTATAAATTGATTATTAAATTACTTAATAAATGGAGCTCCCATAAGACTGACAGATGTCGATATGATGACATAGAAACAACACAGTAATGTTTTACCATATTTTCTCGATATTTAAAGCGATAAATCATTTACATAATTAATTAATGAGACCTATTAAACTAGTTTGCATTAATAAGTACGGTAAAATAATTGTAAAAAAAAATACAAAATAGATTAAAAATCATTTCAAATTCACGTCTGCTGTTGTGTCAAATGAAAATTACAAATACTATGAAACCGGTAGATCAATACCGTACCTTTCCAAAAAAAAATAAATATTTTCCGCTCTCGCAAATTGGAGCTCGTCTGAATAATTAAATTTAGATGTTGCAAGGAGAATATATGAAAGGAATGTTTTTCTTGTCGTGTTCTGTTGGTGTGTGACGTCCTGAAATTGGCGTCTCCGATCCTATTAAGTATGTATATGTATGGAATCCGCCGGATTGTATCACTATATCACAAAGTTCCCATAGAAACTTTCAGTCGAAAACTGGGTTCTTGTACGAATTCTTTTGGTTTTCCAATTTAGTTAAACTCATTAGTTTCGTGACAACGTGAAACATATTGTAAGCATTTGACTGCTACACTATTTAACTTCGGCGTGCCCAACATATCTGTTATTATTATTTTTTGTATACTTTTTTAATTTTATTCCTTAACCATTTAAAAATGGGTAAGCAGCGTATAATAAAGTTGTGCAAGTGTGTATAACCGGCAGATGGAAGAAAAAGTACGACCCCCTGAAGTATATATATTCTTGATCAGCTTCTCTGTCCGCCCGGCAACCCGCCTCTTCGTCCGGTCGGTCGGCTGTCCATCCGTTGTCCTTTTTGTGCGTCCGTGCATGCGCTAATGCATCCATCTGTCCGTGCGTTCTTCCGTCCATCTTTTCTTCCTTTTGTCTGTGCATCAATATCCTGCAAACTATACTAGGTAGAGCTCTAATCTGCGGAAGCTATAGATTTTTGTGGGCGGTAGTGATTCAAGATTTTAAATTGAGATATCGATTTACAGTCTGATGATCATAAAAGTGACTTGTTTTCATAATGCGTAGTCTCTATCTCAAAAAATGTGAAAGATACAGGCATTCTCGATTTTTAGAGGACATATAGATGGAACAAATTAAAAAGAATAAAACATATGTATTGCAATTTCCCATATTTTTTCCATATGATAAATTGTCAAGGAGTCTGGAATCGATCTCCTTTCTTTCCGACCACCTATATCTTACAATGAGTGAATTTGGTCATCTTTAGCAGATCGTCCACCCAATCTGAACGGCCAAGTTCTTGGGGTAGTAACGCTGTATTTGGGCTTACTTACTTCGGTCAGTAATTAAACCGAGGAGACACTCATCTGCTGTTCCTGCAATCGGTCGTTGCTCTGCTAGTAGCCGTAGTGCAGCTCTTGACGCCAGTATTTCCTCTGCTGATGCTAGTGGTTCCCCTTTTGTTATTGATTGTCTGTAATTCGACGAAGTTCTCTGGATGGGTGATTCGGCTGCAGTCCCAAGTTCCGTATGTTCTGGGCTTACTTAGGACTGTACAGGACTTACACAACACGAGTCTTCGTTTGGCTCAATAGATTTTATTGGATAGGATCGTGTTCTTCTGCTCGTGTCTCAGTAGTTTGTGCTGTGCGTAGTCAATTACAGCTTTGAAATCCGGTCAAGAAATTAGGTTTAGCAGTCCTCATCCCGCAGAGGACGTGCAAGCCGTTTATAGAATCCGTGAACACAGTTAGCAGGATAATCATCGGCACGAGGATTTGTGCAATTTTATCGTTTGGCTTTTGTGCTATCTGTTCGCTTAAGACACTTTGGTTCGCTCCTGATGATGACACAACATTTTCGTTTAACAACGCTGATACTCCACTGTCCATGGCGTCCACAATCCCATCAGATGGGCTGCGCGATTCATCGCGAGTTATAGATAAGATATATATTCCCTTTTTCCGTAAACTCTCTCTAACAGCTTGATGTCTGTTATTTAACCTTGTTGGTAGTAACTGTTTTGTAACCTTTCTATGTAAAGTTGCTTGGCGCTGCTCTTTGATTGCGTTGATTACTGCTTTTAAATTTATCCGAGATTGGAACTGCTAATCAGCGACGTTCCTGATTAATTCGTTTCCGTGCGCGTAAGACCTAATATAAATGGCCGAAGTAGCAGAAAGGCAAGTTCATGTTTGTTGATGGGTGCACTAATTCGCAAACGGATTCTGAGTGAGTTTGATGTCCAATATTTTCCCATCTTAGCGAAATCTATCACGTTCTGCGGTAGGATGGAAATTAATTTCGCATTGAAAGGCATATATACGACAAATCTACATCCCAAATTTGATAACTCTTGCTTTTAAATTGTGTAAAACGTATAGGTCTTATGAACTTGCATTCTCAAACCTATAGACTTTTTGGACGTGCTCATACCATTTTTTGATCGTTCTTTGAAGGAATTTTTACCTGTAAAATACATTTATAATTTTGCGGTTCTACAAACTATTCCCAATTTTTAGAGTGGTTTTAAAACTAATATTTTTATGTCAATTATATCAAGGTATTTCGACTTGTTATCGATTTTTTGTCACCAGTGCCCGTGGCGGCCTCACCTTAAAACATTTTCTGATGCAAACATGAAGTATATATTTCAGCGTTCAAGCCTCTTACTTCAATGGCGTCTAATAAAGATCATACGGATGGAGATACGGATAGTATAACGCTCTTTTCACAAACTAACTCTTTTTATGGAGTATATACATTTAATATTAGATATTCTCTAGACTCAAAATGGGGGTTATTAAGTTCCTCACATCGAAATGGCTGTGGACTAGTGTAGTACAAGGGGTGAAAGGTACATCTTTTTATTTGCCACATTCATTTGCACAGCTTTATTATACACGTATTACTAAATGGAAAAGGTTAGACAAATTGGAAGTATATGTCGATATCAATGCAAATTGATCTGAATCCACTCAGCATCATTCAGTACTGACATTATTTTCAGTAAGAAAACTCAGTCACTAATTAGAATGCAGTGTCCTTTTTGGATACACATAGTGAATCGTGCATCAACATGCTTGAATAATAAGAACTTTGATATTGGCTGTAAGAGACTACGATAATTTTAAAAATTAGAACAAACAGTACGTTAAAAATGAATTATTAATTAAAAACTGACAAAATGCATACCTCTAGAATGCAGTTCGCCACAATCTGTCCCTGCATAAGTGCTTCATGCGCGTTGAGAATGTAAAAGGAGCGGTCTGGACAGTAGATGAAATAGAGTTCTACAAAAGGCGACCGCAACGCACAGCTGCTGCTGCTAATAATTTAGCAAGTGTGAAAACTTCGATGGATAATAATTTTTATATAGCTCTAAACTTTGGGTATGTGGGAAACTACCCATCAATGTTTTTGTTTCCATTCTTTCGAATTACTACAAACTATTTGGAAACTGTAGTTTTACCTCTTTTCTCTTGTTCATTCAGTTTTCAAATAAGCTGTCTTGCAATTTTGCTATCAGATTTGCTTGCCCTATTTATTTGAATTTTTCTACTGCTCATTCTCTAGCAAATAAGTATTACTTAAGTGATTTTGATTAGTTAATCTAGTTAACGGGTCAAATAATTTCATTTTATAAAATAGTATTTAATAAAAATATTTAGAAATATGTTATTATAGCCTGTGCCCATTAAAAATGTATAATAGAATTGCTGGAAGACTATACCATAAAGTGTATATCTTCTTGATCAGTACTATCAGAATCGATATAGCCGTGTCAGTCTGTCTGTCTGTTCGTCCGTCCATCTGTTCGTCTGTCCGTCTGAATGAACCATCGGATCTCGGACTCTACAAAAACCGTCTTAGAAATCTCCTTTTGCACTTCTTTACGATAGTCGCGTCAGGTCCACTCCTGCACCTAAAATCCGCGAAAACAAGTGTAGGCTATGAATTCGAAAGTTTTTTAGCAGGTTATATTTTTTTATTGAATGGAAAGTTGTTGTTGTGCCGAAACAAAACTTGAACAATTAATTAAGAAGTGTCGTGAAAAGATAATATTTTATTGATCATTGTTATTGTCATCTTTGTAACGCATTGAAAAGACGCTTTCGACCTAATAATGTATATATATTCTTGATCAGCATCACTATCGTAGTGGATATAGTCATGTCCGTCTGTCTATCGGTCCGTCCATTTGTCTCTCCGTCCTTCCATCTGGTCCGTCCGCCACTCTGTCCGTCCGTCTGTCTGTGTCAATGCGAAATAGTCCTTCAGTTTTATAATTATATTGATTAAATTTCTAAAATCGGAGCAGCCCGGATTTTATCATATAAAAAACGTCCGGTCGAAAGAAGAATGTTTTCCCCCTCTAAGATATCCGAAATAAACTCACTAAAAATATTATTACCACCCATATTTGGACAAAAGACATCAGCATCGGACTACTACATCAAGAAATACTTAACAATCGGCCGTTCTTCACCATTAAATCAGGATCAACAACAGAGTCGAAATAGCCATGCTCGTCTGTCTATCCGTTTATCTGTCTGCTTGACCGTCCGTTTGT